TATATATATATATAAGAAAGAAGTCATTACTTCATTACTTACCAACACCAGCTCATTCTTCAACTTAGCACCAGTCTCTATATGGTGGTGAACCACTTCTGTTAATTGGTCAATGCTAAAGAAAAGAAGAAAGACTCATAAAATATGAAGAATTTCTTTTATGCCATTTATGACAGAAAATCTCTCTGATTCAAAAATAGTGTATAAAAAGTTGACCATTAGTATAACATTTATCTTAGTGGCAAAAGCACCTATTGACATACATGTATAGCATTATGGTAACAATGACATACTAAAATCATTTGTCGCACAATAAATAAAAATTACATCAAGGGGCAAACGTGTGGTGATACCCTTTGCAAATTGTGAGGCTTAGATAATGCAATTACACTGATAGGTTACTAGATCTGAAGACTGTTTCAAGCTGATGCTCACACTGTACCATACCTCTTCATTTCTGCAAGATAGCGTTCGTGTAGCCACTTCTCCATGTTGCCAAAAATCTCTTCTACTGTGCTTTGCAGAGACTGTACCATCACCAGACCATGAGCTTTCACCAGTGCAATGCGGGCCTTTACCGCATCCTCTAGAAAGCAGGCACATGCACACAAACAGAGGGACACAACAACCATATATACATCAACACATCTGCATGTATGTGCACAACTCAAAATGCATAAATAGATGGATATAAGAGGCAGAGAGAGAAACCACTTAGTGTGTGTGTGTGTGTGTGTGTGTGTGTGTGTGTGTGTGTGTGTGTGTGTGTGTGCGTGTGTGTGTGTGTGTGTGTATACCCTCATGAGTTACTGCAGCTGAATATTCTCCGTGCAATTTTTCTCTAACTTTAGGATTATAAGGCTTCTCTGAGTTTCTCTCCTCGGCTGTTGCCTGGCTGGGTGTCTGTGGTAGGGATGACTGATCTGGAGCAACAAAATGAACAGTGAAAGTTGTGTGGGCACCACTATGACTTTATTAATAATCTACATGAGACATGCCTTTTTTGGATGACTCCTTTTGTTTGTTGGTTTTATTTTCACTTGTGGAGGCTTTCTCCTTTTCTTTCTCTGGTAGTTTCTCGTCCTGCTCTTTTATCTCCGACCGGTCTGTTTCTCCTGACACCTATAGAAATATATAATACATTCCATTCAGAATCAAGTATATACTTCCATAAAAATACCTCCATGAATTTTTTTAGGAATATACATAGACCATTACCAGATTGCTGATAGCTGTGAGTGCTTCCTCATAGCCAGATATCAGTTTTTCGTGTGGTGGCTATTATATAAAAAAAAATTTTTTTTTAAAGTGAAATGGTCAATAACATCAACATTTTTATGTAAGTTAAGGTACAAATTCACAAACCGCATCTAAAATCCATTAACATTAGCAAGATGTGTCTATGTGTGTGTGTGTGTGTGTGTGTGTGTGTGTGTGTACGCTGAAAAATAAAGGGCACATAAAGAGAGACAGGAAATCTGACTTGAACAGGTTCTGGCTGATCTTGGCCTTTTGTCTTGGAGACCCTTCCAGAGGCTCCAGGATGTCTGGTGAGTGGAGTACTAAAGAAAAAAACAAAACAAAACAGGGAAGTGTTTCTATGACTGAACAACAAACAATGAAAACCAGTGCAAGTGTGCTTCTCCCTTACAAATGTAACTTCTTCTTGTCCTCTCCTTCATCCAGATTGCACAAACTTGATCCTGGTGGTTCACTACTGATGAAACAAAAACTTTCTGTGCTCATTATGTGTAAATATTTAGCATCCTATCATTTCACTAATTAATATGTATTAATATGTCTGAGCGGCTAATAATAATATCCGTCTTGCCTCTCATCCTGATCCTTATTTTCTGTGTTTTCCATTAAAGGAACATAAAAAAAAGTTGAGAGTGGTTTGGGAAGCATCTGTCCACACATGCTTAAATAGTAGACCCTGAGAATACAGAGCGTCTCCTGGAAGCGGTTCAACTCCACCTACACAGCATTAACAATCAAAGATTATGGTGATATTTAAGAAACATTTTATGTAAGAGACATAGCCAAAACAAAAACTACAATGTTACCTGCGTAAGTATAGAGTGGTGGTTGACGAGAACAACAATGTGCTCCTCCAACCAACCATCACTCATGAGAGAAGCCCTCTCTTGCTCATCCTGCTCCTTACGCTTGTCAGTAATGTCCCACAAACGTTCACGTAGCTCCTGTATGCCCGCAAATCATTAAATCATAAATATATGTTTTTTTTATTTTAAGTTTATTTCATTGGTTTTTAATACAAATTTCTTGATTTTAGGAATATTTGTTTTGTTTTGTATTGTAAAGTCTTACATCCAATCTCAGATGTAGCTCTTCTTTGGTATCCTCATCTTCTTTCATATCATCGGGTATGCTGTTGAAGTTCTTCTGCCATTGAGACACTAACTCCTGCTTTAAGTCTGGGCGCCCCAAATAATGTTTGTAATGCTCTCTGCAGACACCAAAAACCAAAGAATGCACATTAATAAATTAATATAGCACCAGTTTTCATAAATGATTGTTTTCAATGAAAATTCATCTTTTATTTGTAAAACATTTCTGACCTATAGGTTTAAATAAAGACTTGGCAGAATACCTGATATTAAACAGGTGATGGTTGATAACAGAGCGTTGCAAGCGCAGCTCTTGCATCACCGTCTTTACATCGTCTACATAAGAATCGCACAATGTGTCCCAGTATGAGCACAGGTACTCTGGGATCTCCTAGACAGGATCAAATGGAAGTATGAGAGGACAGAGTAAAAAAAGACAAAACCAAACAAAATACTCTTTAATGCAGCAGAAGATATATAGCAACGAATTTCATCTAATAAATCTCATTAACTCTGAAACTGCTCATGGAATAAATTGTGTAATAAAGCCTCCCCCAGGGAGTCATATCCGCTAACTAACAAAACTAAATCTTTCAGGGAAGACAACAAATGGTAAATGGTCTGTATTTGTATAGCGCTTTACTTGGTCCTAAGGACCCCAAAGCGCTTTACACTATACACAATCATCCACCCATTCACACACACATTCACACACTGGTGATGGCAAGCTACATGTAGCCACAGTCGCCCTGGGGCGCACTGACAGAGGCGAGGCTGCCGGACACTGGCGCCACCGGGCCCTCTGACCACCACCAGTAGGCAACGGGTGAAGTGTCTTGCCCAAGGACACAACGACCGAGACTGTCGGAGCCGGGGCTCGAACCGGCAACCTTCCGATTACAAGACGAACGCCCAACTCTTGAGCCACGATCGCCCCTACAAATGTATACAGGGTCGTATCATACTGGAGGAAGTGGCTCATTCACATAGAGCTGGACAGATGATCGGGGGCAGAAAGACTTAGACTTAGGTGAGTTTTTGGGGGCTCCTTGACAGCTAACACTGCACACTGAGGATACTGATGCACTCCTACTGGGCCCTTTTGAGAAAGCAAGAAAAAATACGTAAATAATCACAAATTAGTGCCAAACCACCCTAAAATACTTATTTGTCAAAAATATCAAATGACCTAAAACAAGTCAGTGAAAAGACACACACAATTGTTTAAATTAGCAGAATACTGAGCAAGTCACCTCTGAGACTTTGGACCTCTTCCTCTTTAAGGCTGGAGCAGGACTCTGTGGGCTCAATAGTTTCTTCAGTGAGAGCTGTAGGCTGGTCTACACCTGAAGGTACACTTGAAGAGGACAACTTGGGAGCTTTTGCACTGTCTAGTACGGCATCTTCAACAGGAGGACTGGAAAAAGCTGATAAGAGAATATGTCATGATTTTGAAAGTAAATGCTATGAAGAAGTGATCTACAACACTTAGTTTACTATATAAATAAAAGTACTGTAGCTAATCCTGGAAGCATAGGCAAGGACGATGACAATCCAAGTTCACTAAATTGAGCTGAATTACAAAACTCCAACCACTCACCTCCCTGTGTTTTCAACATAGCTTGATGCAGGATAGACTCCACCCTACTGTAAAGCTCCTGAACGTCTACATCTGCATCAACACGGACCAAAATGTTTTGCTTTTCGCCAAACCATTTCTCCAGTTTTGGCCAGGTATCCTGAAAAGCTGTTATCCTGAAGGGAAGAAATCATGTTGGATATTAACAGACACAGAACAAAGGTTATTCCTTCAAATTAAGCTCCCTATTTTCTTCTTTTGTACCTGTGTCCAATCTGTGCCAGATACACATTCTTGTCTGCATGCTGGGAGGTTCTAGGAGCATCGTCCAGATCTGCACAACATAAACATTACACTAAGATTTAACTTGTTTCATGTAAACACAGCCTAACAGTTAATATTTGGGTGAATCTTAATATACATTTTTAAGCTCCTAAGAGTTTATCAAACCCATTTTAGTGTATCCACGACTGATTGCATGCTCATCAGGGATATCCAGGAGCAAAACCAGGTCCAGCACAGGTGCAGGGGGTGGTGGAGGTTTTGGTGGATTGGGATCTTTAGCAAGGTTCTTGCTGCTATTTACAACTTCCTTTTCTAAGGATACATCTCCACCAAGGGCTTTCTCTAGAAGATGTGCCTGAGCGATGTCAAATGGGAATCCATCCAGAATCCAACCTGACTGAGATGGAAGCTGACTAATGCAGACACAATAATTATTTCATTATGTAGAGCGTGATTTGTTGTTCATTTTGTATATGAATATTTGGATTTCTATTACCAATGTGACATTTACTGGTAAAATTAAGACAATGGCCTCAACATTTCTCACCTGATCGCCTCTACTATAATGTCCACTAACAGCTCATTAGGGATAGTGTTCCCTTTCCTCAGCTCTTTTTCCACAGCAGCTCCTTGTATGGCTCGCTTCGAAAGCTGGAAAAGTAAGAAAAGCTTTTACCCAAATTCCAAATCATTCGATTTTCCAAATATATATTTGGTTTTTTTAACAACAAAGATCAAAAACAATTTCCCTCAGGCAGATTGGTGTTATAAAATGGATACAGGCTGTTACGTAGTATAAGTAAATAGAAAAATGATAAGTAAATTCAAAGATGATAAATACAACACATACAGTACACAAACAGCACTTACTGTTGCATTACCAGCTCTATTTTCTTCTTGGTTTTCAAGATCTGGAAAAAGATGAAAAAAGAAGTGATGATAACAGCTTTGTGTACTAAGCAAAGAAACACACCATTGTGTATAATACAAAACAGAGTAGAATAAAATCATTAGACCTTCAGTAACCCACCAGATTTCACTGATGTGTTTGCGAGAGGTTGCTCATTGTCTTCCTCACGCTGCTGCGCTGTGCCCTGTTAATTTTGTCCAAAATAATTGTTTGAAATGACAGCAGAAATAACTGAAATGTTTGCCGTGAAAAATCTTTTAAAGTCTATTTATAATAACAATGGATTCTACTAAAGTTACAGTACTCATTTTACTGTCTCTAACTAACCTTCTCTCCGTTCTTGTGAGCATTCAGTGCCTCTTCAATCAAAGTATCAGTCGATAAGACGTAGATGCCATGTGCTGAAGCAGAAACAATACATACAGTGACAACTAACCATGCAATTATATCCAATATCCATTTATAATACAAGTATAATATAAGTAAAGATTTAAGTGGAGATTAACTTTGTGTTTGTATATGCATTTCTTATATCATGCCTTCAGCAATCTTGGACAGGCAGGTGGTCTTGCCAGAGCAAAACTTTCCAAGGACACAGGCCTTAAGGATAAAGTGTGGAAATAGGGATGATGATGGTTCAGTGATGGGTGGATCAACAACGTTCCTCAGTCGTTGGACAATGTACCCAAGAATATCATTGTTGGTCACGGGTAATTTCACTTCCACAGCTTCCTCTGGCCATCCCCACTCACCCATCATATTCTGACAAACGTATGTCAAAGACAAAGAGGACCTTAGGCATTCAGACAGCATCGGGTACTTGAATTTAGATACACACTTCTTCAATGTCAAAAATGTAGCTCAATCGCTCAATCAATGCCACTTTTTATTCTAAATAAAGTTACCTCGTCAACAAAAGTTAGCTAAGGGCAGGCAAATGTGCATACAAAATATGTTTGAAACACTGCATTCATATTTCAAACTCACAGTGTATTCATCATAGTCCTGGTTGTTGAGTATCTCCTGCTTCTGAAGCTCTATAGTGTCTAGTGGTTCACGGAACCCAAACCCTGGCTGGCGGTCCTTTACTGGCTCGTAAAGTGGAAGACCACTGAACAGCAATTCCTTCCACTCTCTCATCAGCTTCTCTGGAATCCGACTGGACATCATAGCAGAAAATGACAGGAGGCAAAGCTTGAATTCTGAGGTTGGATATGGACTATAAATCTGAACAATCTCCAGTCTCTTAATTCAACCGTAATACGTTTCTTAATGTTGTCTAAATGTATTCATTTAGTCAATCAATGTTCACTGAGGTGGAAAATGCTGTAAATAAACTCTGCAGGGATGCTTAATCTGTTCATGAGTAGGAGCGCTGACACAGGACATGAGACATGTAAAACCTAGTATAACATACATACAGCATTGCAGATAGACGGATAGATCAAAAAAAGCAAATATGGGGCATGATGAGCATGAGAAAAGACAGTCTGGACATTTACATGGCCCGATTTTATTTGACCACTGGTCAGTTGTACAATGACAGTTTCCAATATTGGTATTTTTTCACAGGTTTGAACTCACATCAGCATTTGCACCATACTGTGCAGTGCTTTAGCATTAACATTAAAAACAACTTTCAGTTAGATTTCAGTTTGTCAGTACTTTCCTAAAATACTTTCTATTTTGTTTTTGAGTAAAAAGAAACTAAAATAAAATAGAATCTATATTTTAAAAAGTGCCCAAATTATTTCAGTTACTTTTTCAGAAAAAAATGTGTTCTAATTTAAACAAATTAAATCTGTTTATAGAGCAGAGTACGTGCTCTTTTCACCCTTAGTCCAATTATTCACATCATGAAGTTGCCAATGTAAAAATATTTCTGCAACTTATTAGTGGTACCCTCTGAAAACATACATAACACATTTTTGAATTTTCACACATTTATCAAATGACCAAGATGTCTGTTTTGAAACCAAACACCATTTGCTGCATTTATACTTCATCTTTACAAAGCAACTATGTTACGTACTTTCCATTGAGCAGTCGATATTCTCCAACCTTTGTGGCCAAGTCCATTATCTGCTCCAAAATGCCCCTGCAGTTCTCAAAATGCTTCTTATATTTCCTTTGAGTTCTCTCAACAGCAATCCTGTTACAGAATTCAAGCTCCTTTTTGATCTCTTCTGCACGATCCAACTTAGCCTGCTGAGCCAGAGCCTATATGAGACCCCAGTCAGAAAGAGGGAATCAATGGAGAAGGTATAAAGGTTCCTGCTAATCACCAGTGTTTTTAAGAAATTAGGGAAGATGCTAAATATTACATTTCATCATTTACTGCATAAAATTTAGTACTAAGTTTTATTCACAAAGAGTTCTGAAGACAAAGACAAAAAATAACAAAAAGGAGAATTTATCACTACTACTGCCTAGTGCACAAAAAGACCCTATAAGAGATTCTGTGTACATTTAATTATATGATTTTCTACATTTCTTCTGTAAATAACAGCTGAATTTGAAAAATGTTTTCACAAAATTCTCCTCTGATGTTGCCTGAGAAATTAAATTAGTGATAAAACCAGCACAAAATGGTGACAACGTACAAAATATTTGACATTTAGTTAAGTGACTCTATGTTCGTGCCACTGTCATCAAATCCCATAAAAACTATTAAAAAAAACAGTAATTAAAGTATTTAGCATTGTTGTGTATTCATCGTTTATTCGTCTGTGCCACAGTACTCCACCCCCATACTGTTTCATCATATCTGCTTTTTGTCTTTTATTGGGATTTGTTGACAATTAAACTTATAATGTTATAAAGTGATAACAGTTAACCTGTAAATCTATACCACTGCTAATAATTATACGCTATTAAAAAAAGCTATATTTTCACACTGAAACCATAGTGAACCATGAACATCACTAATTTGTTTTCCACTAAATCTGTCATCTGTAGTGTATCTGTGACCACTGAATGGACATGATTCATACACTCTTAGTATATCCTTTATCTATACCTCTCAAGTCCATCTGTTTCTCTTCAAGATAATAAATTCTATTGATGCAATACAACCTGTGTAAATCTGGCCTTTTATTTTTATCCCTACTCGACAATTAATACTATTACTGACCAAGCCTAATACAAAACAATAGCAGTGAGACATCCCTCCTCATATATCATCCTATCTCACCGCCTCCCTGTCCAGAGCTTCCTGGAAGTCTCTCTCTCTCCGCTGCTGGTACTGCTGTTCTCTGAACAGGCGGTTCTCTCGGATGACCTCCTTCTGCATACGTATCTGAAGTAGCTGGGTTGCCAAACGCTGCTCCTGCTGAGTCTGACGTGTCAGTCGCTTCACCAGTTGCTCCTCTCGTCGTGCCTCCTGAAGGGTGGGGAAGAGGAGGCTAATTAGCTGATTTGGGGGTTAAAATGACAAATGACAGTCAAATAACAGACTATTTGAGGTCAAAGAAAATAGGAGGGATGGAAAAACATTTGAGAACCACTGGATTTTTTAAGTATATCTAACAAAGGCTATTAATATTTCTCAGCGAGATGTTTCACCTCCTGAGCTTCATGGACCTTGAGCTGCTCCACCAGGAATCTGTCTTGTCTTTTCTCTCTCTCCTTGCAAGCTACAGCATTTTCCTCCAGCCTCTTTCGGATTTCTTGTATGTATCTGTTGCTGGACTGTAACATCACCTTATTTCCACGTCCAAGCAAATCACGGCCCTGACTGCTGCTACCAAGGGAAAAATCTATGGGGGACTGACCACTAAAAATAGAAAGAAAGAAAAAAACATATGTAAAAAGTTATATGGTAGCAAAGATTTAAGAGTGGAACAAATGTCCATTAAAACAGACATTTAAAAATATGCTTAGTTCATAAATAAAATATTTTCCTTTTCTCTTACCTTGATGATAACCCAGCAGTAATTACCATCTTCCTGTTTGTCTCAAACTGGGCTATTTCAGTCTGGACTATCTATGTGAACAAAACACAATAACACCCAAGAGACAACAGACCAAAAATGAAATTTCCTCTATGGATTAGGAAATTATTACAGCATTTTTAGCTCTATCACACCTGTGCTTGTCGTTCTTTGCGCTTCTGCTGCTGCTGTCTCTTCTTTAGGCTGAGCTGTGAAATGTATGGAGGTGGCTTAGGCACCTGCATATAAGTGGTCTGGTTAAAAGTCATGCCTTTGTGCTTCTGATGAAATGCCTGCAACTGCAACATACACAGTTCAGAGTAGTAAGTATCTCAAACTTTATTTATTGCAATAGCATAATATAAGATAATGTACAAAAGGAAAGGGGTTTTATATTCTTAAATATTAAATAATATAAATATTCTATTTAATCTTCTAGCACCTTGTCAATATTCTTCAGTCTTTTCTCATCCTGGACTTTGACTTGTCTCTTCTGCTCGATCGGAGGGGTCACCACAAACTGCTGGAATTTCTCCTCATAGTGCTGGGAAATTTTCTGAAGTTTCAATTCTGTATCACGTTTCACCACCTGACGCAGTCGCTATGTGAAAGGAAAAAACACTTGAAAATACACCTAAGGGCCCAAATCATGATTTCATTTTTCATTATTCGTAAAAAGCAAAACATTTTTAAACTCTAAATATGTTTCTTACCGATCAAAACAAACCTGCTTCAAAAGGAAAAAAGCCTCTAATAAGCACATACAAAACTCAACAAACAGCCCTCTTACGTCAGAATAGATCTGATGCTCCTTTTTGTGCAGGCTTGCACATCCTGCTGGCTGCATAATTTCCATCATTGTCCCACTAATTTCTGCTTTCCTGTTCTTCTCAAGTGAGACATAGAGTTGGTATAGGAGGCGTGTGGCAGCCCCCTGCTTCTCCTGAATTAGGTCTTGGGCTGTGTTTATGTCGAAGGAGATCCCAAGTAATTGGAGAGTAGGCTCAAGGCGGGTAAAATTATTCAGTTTGGAGACAGAGGTGCTAAAACGAAAGGTGTGATTTACACTTATTATGAACACCTTAAATGAACTGCAGAATTAAGCACCTGTAGCTAAGACAGAAAAAGGGGCAACTTACTCTTTCTTCATAAACATATTGAAATCGTTTTGCAGCTGATATTTATGCAAAACTTCCCCCATTAGGTAACCACTGGCGAAATCTTTGGCAATGGTCTTTGGCTCTGTAGAGATGAACATTTAGTCATTTACCCAAACAAAGACTGGTATAATATATTTTGAGCAGTCCAGACAAACTATTGGCTTAATGAGTTAACGTGTTGATGAGTATTGTGTATTAACTTTGAAATAATATCCCTCGGATTGTTGACTTTATAGATGGACTAGCCCTTTGTCTTTTTAGCGTCCAGGAGCTAATAACAACATCTATACCGAACTTTAGCTTCATTAAGCTAGCAGCTAGTTCGTTAGACAAACTTACCTACAGCCTTTGACAGCTGGAGCTCCTGGTTCAGCCACCGGCACAATATATCCGACATCGTACTTTTTCAGCTCTTACATTTATACTCAGACAACACACCACCTAACGCTACTAAGACTATGACATTTTAGCCCCAGGATAACGTCAGAAAAAACAGCGGAGCATATCCCACTGGTACACCGTTGCCATGGCGCCCTATCAACATTACCGGTGGCGTTATTAGAACGCCTCAGTATAGCTTACCCTGGATCAGTTTTTATTTCACAAACAAGTGTAATTAAAAACTAGAATTAATAACTGCTAACCGATCCAGAACCTGTGCTACTTAATACTAAAGGGACAAAAGTATTTTTAGCTACACAACCATCATCAGTAAAATCAGTAAAATAATAATTTGTAATGGGGACTTAATAATAGCACACTGATTATGGTTGATTATGGTTAAAATGTTAAAATTAATGTTAAAATGTTTATTTAAAAAAAAATATGGAAAAAAAGAACCACGCCGACAAACTAACAGCCAGACAAGTCATTTTATTGCATTGAAACAAATAGTATACCATTTTGTGTTAGTAGTGTTAACATTTATTTTTTCCACTCGGACAAAATGTAGTGTTTTCATTCAATAAAATGAACGGATAAAATAATCTGCTAGATATCCCGAATTTAAGAACAATTTCCTGAAATAAGGTACTTTTTTTTAAATGCACAATACTTTCAGTCCTGTTGTCATGCAGAACACTAAGTGTTAGTTTCCAAGCCATATGGCAACATAAACGAGAAGTTTACAAGCCACTGTTTTGTTGTGATATTTTAGATAGCATGCATCAATTTCACAAAGACATCCGAGGCCAACGAGGAAGATGTGTAAAGCAGCAAGTTTACACTGGTATACAAAGCACATATTCAAAAATTCTACAGTGTAAACACTCATTAAAAATGAAGATGAACCTCAGAAAACAGCGGAAACTTTAAAGAAAAATTGCTCGTCTGCGGCTGCAATGAAGAGATCTCTAGCCTTACATACACTTTGTCTGGCAAAGCGAATCTCCTATGGAAAGATAGCAATGCAAAGCGGAGTAAGCTTAAAAACAAAAAGAAAAAAAAAAAAGAAAAAACAGGATCACAATTCTTATTCACTTTATATACAACAAATATATATTTCAAATCTGACTGTTTGAATTTTCCTCTCATTAACTAAATAGTAGAGGGAATATAATGCCATTTTATATAAAACATCAGGAGATTTTGTATTGCAAGAAAGTAAGGGGAAAACAGAAAATCACACTTATGTACAGTTTGTTGCATTAATAATAAGATTTCCAGGACAATAAAAAGGTGCCAGTCTGTTGATCAAAATCAACATAAATCCTGTAACACACTGTAACTTATAACCTTCGAAGCACTGCTTGTTTAAAAAAAAAAAAAAAGCAAGCTTCGAAGGAACAGAATATGCAGCCATGTTTAAATACTCAGAGTTACATCCCCTCTTTAAAATAATCTTGGAAGATGATGATCTCCTATACTGAAAGTGGCTTATTCAGTACTGATGCAAGCTGTCGCCTCATAAATCAAAATTCAGAGCAGTTTTCTGAGAGAAAGAAAGGGGGGATACAATTTTCTCAGTAGTCAAAGAGGACTGACTGCCTGCCTGTTATCAGTTCGTCTGTGAAGACGGAGTTAAAGTTCGTTTACGTCATGATTCACGTCACAGTAGGTTTGCTTAAAGCTTGTTGGCTGGAGGCACTGAGAAACAACAGACCACATCTGCCGTGCGGGCAAGCCCTGGCCTGACTCTAAAAGAAGAAAAGAAAACAATACATCTTGCTTATTGTGTCAAATTATAAGCTTTCTATACTCATTTGTATTCAATGAGCATTTCTAGTCATTATCTATCATTTCTCTCCTTTGGTCCCTTTATCTAACCATAGAATTTAAAAGGCGGCATATATATATATATATATTATTATAAAACATTTGTTTAAATGTACTGCAGACCAAAAGACAGTAAACACATAAACACAGCCTACCAAAATGATATCAAGTTCTTGTGCAGAACTCTCTAAAGAAACCAAAGAAATCTTCGCAATCCACACCGACACACCGAGAAGCCATAGCACTCACTAAAACTGATGACAAATGACATCTCCTGTACATTAAACTAAAGTGTGGGTGGGATCCAGATACTGAAATACAGTGCACTTTCAGTCAATTCTGAATCACATTAGCGTAAGACATTGTTAACAGCAACATTTATGAGTAATAAGGCAATGTGTGAAATTTGATGGTGCAAAGCATTGGAAGCGTTGAATTTTGAAAACGTTGATTACCCACCCAACTAACTCGCATCAGTTAAAAATGTATAATATCAATCATCATCTCGGAGGATAATACAAGTATCAGCCTGACCGTGAAATCCGTTTCGTGGCAAAATCCCCCCCAAAAAAACCAAATAAAAAAATAAAAATAAACTCTACTGGTAATGAAGGCAAAACAGAAGGCAAGAAAACATTACATATTAGTGTGTTTGTTCATTATAATACATCACTTTGTATTCATGTTTTTAGCTTATAACAGTGTATATCCGATGGGTTTATCACCCATATATTTCCAGACCATAATACAAAGCACCACACCCACATCTGTGTAAACTAAAGATGATTCTCATCAATAAGTGCATAGTTCCACTGATATCTCCCTGTTTCAACAGTTATTTGTGAACTGTAAATCACATGTGAGAGGACTTGAGCTTCAGTCCTGTAGCTGTCTCAAAGCAGGTAAGATTAAACCAATGGTGGAACAGCAGAAGACATGAACAATTAAAACTGCTCCTTTCCTAAAAGGTACTTATAAAGTATTTTCAGGTGCCATTATAAAGTTTGAAGCTGTGCTGCATTCAGTTTTTCTCTGTAGTGTAGTAAAGCTTACATCACCAAAAGAAAGAAAGAAAGAAAGAAAGAAAGAAAGGTAAGCACACTAAACACAGGAAATGCCATTTGGAAATGCCCATCACACAAAGTCACAGATCAGACACCGGGTCTCCAGAGGGTGCATATATAGTATGGTAGAAAGAGGAGAGGTATGAACAAATCATTTGAGGAGTTTTGCTGCCATGATAGAAATGTTTTGATTTATAAATATACAGATTTATATTCATAATCCAAGGACGAGAAAATAACAAGACACATTTCTACGTGTTTGGCATAAACGTCAGAAAATGACTTATTAACTGCTGCTGTCGAAATGCAACAATCATGTAGTGCTACATCAGAAGGGATACTTAGCTAGACTATGTGGCTTAGCCTTGCGATACATGACACTGGTAACAGTAATGATGAAAATAGTTTCACATTAAACCCCCTGACCTGGCGACTAGTACTGAGAGAGAGATGATCTCATGGTTTTGTTGATGACAGCAGGTTTGTGAGCCAGGATGCTGCTGACGACGACAGCTGTCGTTTCTCCCCTGTATTCTCTTCTCCATCCGGGAGAAGGAATTGAGTGGAAGCAACAGAGGTAGGGGATCCCAGTGAAGGTGCCAGGCTGCCCATTTCTGCAGCATCCACGGGGGAGTCCAACTGCCAGGAGCCCTGGGGCTTGTAGCCCCCAGAACAGGCAGCCTGTGGCTCTAGGAAAGACTCTGGTGAAGACAGGTCCATGTCATCACTTGGGGCTCTAGGTTGCATCTGAGGTCGATAGCCTCCTCCTCCATAGCTGACCGACCGATCAAGCTGGGGTTGGTGGCACTCGGAAGAACCCTGTGGATCCAGCTGGAGGACCAAAGAAGACCCTGAGGTCTGGATCCCTGTGTATGTCACATCGGTGTGAGCTGAACTCATAGACGATATAGAAGAAGCAGACGAGTCTGGGAAACGTGGCCTTATGGGACGCTCGTCTACCATTTGGTTATAGTAGCGTAATGACGTTGGTTCATCTGTGTCAACTGACTCATCTCCTATTCCCTGCCCTGCATCATCCTCATCTTCCTCAGGAATGGCAACAAGCATATCTTTAATACAATCATACTCAGGTGTTTCTACAACACACACCATGCTGTGGGGAGATGGCTTCACGTCCAACGGACCCTGAAAGAGACAAAGAGTCAGTTAAATATAGTTTCACAAGACAGCATAAAAAAATAACACATAAAAAACAGGGAATGAGCTTTTGTAATCACAAAGGAAGCACAAGGAAGTTTCTAAGGATCATACTGGATTAAGCTAATACTGTACCCGTGTCCTGGGCCAATCACTGGGAAGCTTGGGCTCTGGAATATCTGGATAGAATGCCTTCTTTACCCTGGTAGGAGCAGAATTTTAATTTTAACATTTAGAATATCAAGTGCCTGAATAATAATTAAAAAAAAAAAAAAAAAAAAAGATGCTGTGCATTGCTGCCTTGAATTATAAAATCATCTCTTGCATACATGCAAACAAGAGAGAAAGACTAGCAAAAATAGCAGCACAACAGTCTTACCACTTCCTTTTCTTGTAGCAAGTGAAAGTGACGATGGCCAGTAATAAAGTTACAAGCCCCAAAGAAGTCAAGATCTCCAAGATGAGCCAATCAGCTGTCAGGATAGGACAAAGAGTATTAGAAATGCTACACTACCAATTTACCTACATCTAAGTACAAATTACGCTATCTATCGATACATATATACATACACACATAAATGCATGCATCATACATGAGAATCTTTAATAATGCTGACAGACTGGCATAATAAATAAAACTAGATATTTACGTACTGTAGGGCTCTATTGTTACAGTGGCAGTGGTGCCTGTGTTCTCCCCTGCTGCAGTGTAGGCCTTGACAGTAAATTTGAAGGTCCCCTTAGTGAAACCCTTTGCTGTGTAGCTCATCGTTTCTGGATCAGACACATTCTCTGTTCAAAGGGTAATGAACGAGTAAGGAGAGAAAAGAAGAAGAAAAGTATTAACCAGAAGCAAAATGCACACATTGTGATGAACTGCAAAATCATAATTATTCATGATCTTTGTCCTTTTAAAGTATCGTACTGTAACAGTTTTATTGGTTAAACAGGAGGAGAATCATAAATATACCTAGTAGTTTGAACTGGTAACCAGTGCTGTTGTAAATATTGTAGCCCAGGAGGAAGCCTCTTCTGTTCACCAGTGGAATCTCTTTCCAGGTGAGAAGAATATCAGCGTTCTGCTGACTGGCTGACAGAGTCAAAGCAACAGAAGGGACTGTGGAAACCACAAAAGGTGGGGAAAGGTTGGAGGAGCATGGCGAGAAGGAGAAAAGTTGTCCGCGATTAAAACACACAGCGCCATTTTTTTTGTTTATTTGCTTGTTTGTTTGTTTTTTAAAGATAAGCTTTCAGTGTGCAGCGGTATCCCTACCCAGCTCCTGCGTGTATCCCTGCCAGCGCTTCAACAGTTCCCTGGCATCTGAGGAGCAGCTGTACAAGGACAAGTTGTATCTCACACCTGGCTGGAACGTAGCTGATGACAGAGAAACAGATTATTGTGCGTTATGCAACACAATTTAAAATTCGACAGCCCCTTTCAGTGGAGTTATTTGAGGTAACTGAGGTTGTTGTAAGCTGAAAATCGTATTAATATCTTAAACCTCTTTCTGACGTGTACTCTCTCCTGTTAATCTGAATGTGACCTCTCCATATCAGAATGCACGCTCTGACCACTTTTCCATAAACCTCGAGCCAAGCACATTTTACGCAAACATTTTTAGCACAAGAGTGACTACTTGCAGTCACAAGACTGCAACTGCACGGGTGTCCCTCCAACATCTTGAGTTTCCCAGCTCATTAAAACATATCAGTGTTTTGGAGAATGTCTAAACAAACCTTTGCCACGAGATACATGCTTTCAGTCACAGTACCAGTGACAGGTCAGATTAGCAAGTTAACAATTCATCACATAGTTGCAGCTTCCTGAATCCATCAGTAACAAAGTTTGAGAGTTGTGTATCTAGCACAAGAGCAGTAAGTTTAACAAATTATCCTGCAAGAGACACGGAGACGAGATTGATTGCAAGCAAACACTTGATGTGTAATTCACTTCAATCAGGTGAGCAATTACATACAGTTAGATTTTAATAATTGCCAACACATAATACTGTAGTAACACTGTAGTAATACTGTCAGTAATTTTGCCTCCTATCAATGCTGTTGGCTGTTTTGAATGGAGCTATGAGGAACGTTAGTATAAAAATGGCTCATCTCTGAAAACTAGAAAACAGCAATATTATCTATTCCGTGTCTGAAAAGACCTGAAATTACTATACACAGTCAAGAATAATACTAACAGAAAGACAACAAAGTTTGTACCAACAATCAAAACACATACAGCACAGTGCTAAAATCCACTGAAATCAATGCTCCGTTTTCACAGGCTGACAGTTGTTGCATACCTGACTCAATGGAAACATTAGTGGTTCCAGCAGGCAACTTAATCCACTCTACAGGGCAGTCTTGTGGGCAGAAGGCATCAAGCCACTCTACCACATATCCACAGGTGGCATTGGCATTGTTTTCCCAGAACAGGGGAAAACCTTGGTCTGTATAAACTATCCTGGGCGCAGCAAGGGGTTCCACACCTGGAAGGATGAAAACAAGCTTAGCAATGTAGAAGCCACATCTATTCACCGTTTCTACACAACAGAGTGCTACTTTAGGGTTTCAACAACGACGCATGTTATACGAGTGAAAGCAGACGCTAAAACACCAGAAAGTTCTCCTTAGAAGCTGCCAGCAATGTCACATTAGGTCAAGTGTGCTGTTGAAATATAAGATAAACATCTCACACACACTCTCCCTCCACTTTCACATACTTGTCAAATGTACTCTTGCAGGTGGAGAAGATCCCGCATCATTCCTTGCAGTTACTTTTGCTATGACGCTGCCGTTATTGCTGAAGAAAGCGATTTCTGTGAGGTTGACTGGCATGGACCAATTATTCGGTGGCAAGGTTACAGCCGGCGCAAGTGCTCGATTTTCTTCAGGACTCCAAAGGAAAACTTCATATTGTGTCAGTTTACCGTGGCTCTGTCTTCGTGTTAGAGGCTAAAGGAGATCAGGAAAGAAATTATATTAAATCGCTTTCTTCTTATTGGGGTACATTTCATGGTACGTTAAACAGTGACCTGTGTCAAAGTGGTAAAACGAAACAGGATAACGAATGAAAATGCACATGTTACTTGTCTGTGCATTATAGCTGTAGTCAACATGATGAATCTGTGCTCTTTCCAATTATACATGCATAAAGCTAATTGTCTAAAATGACCATGTAAATCTAAAACAGCTCAAGTCAAAGATGAAAAAACAAAACAAAAAAAAAGACACATTACCTTCCAAACAACCTTCCCGGTGTTATCTGTGTTCAACCATATCCAAGCATCTGGGGTATCGGGAACTGAGAAAAGTCAAAAACATACAAACGTTATGTTACATTTCAGAGACTCTAGTCCTATAGAAATGAGGACTTCAAATATCCAGTATTTAGCAACAAATTTACTTCCTAGATTTCCTTAAAGTTGAATTAATTCAGGCAGACACCCAACAATTAATCACTAAAAAATTACTGATTGATAAAATTAGGAAATAATAAACACTTGAATCCCTAATTCTGCCAAAATAAGCAACACCACAAATAAATAATTTACCATAGGTTTTAGTTTTGAAGGAAGACAGTTTGCTCCAGTTTCCCCACTTCCAGAAATTCTGCTGGGCACCGCAGCGGACTTTAACACTGTAGTGCTCATCAGGATACAGGTCCGACAGAAACACAGACCTCAGACCCACACCAGAGAAAACACGCTGGAAACAGACATTCGATTTTATAAGCACGAATGAGAGAACATCCTACATGACCTCGCATTTCTTGAGGGCAATGTGGTAGGATGCAGTCCTAGAAGAATCAAAGTGATGATGTCTGACATATTGCACAACATACACAAGCGCAGACTTCTCACCTTTATTAGTTTTTCGTCCTCTGTTGCGGTGATCTCAACCTGGCAGACAAGTGCCAAGGAAGAATAACTGTCGTACTTCCAATGCCACGACAAAGAGGCATTCCAGGCATCGGCAACGACGCTCAGCAGATCTGGCGCCACTGGACACACTGAGGAGGAAGAAAGATTCAACAACATCAGAAAAGGAAAAAAGTATTTTTTATATATTTTTGATTTCTATATGTCTGTTTTACCAGAAGAGTATGTGCAGTGATGGTGAGAAGCTAAGGTTGAGCCACCCACCTCTGTGACTGAGTTCAGCAGTGTCCGTGAGGCTGTACTGGCCGAGAAGATTCTTAGCTACCAGTGTCCAGTTACCCTCCCATGTGTCTAAAGTACAGGTTGCTTCTTTCTGTCCCACATCTTGGTTGACCTCACTGCAGTCCCTAAAAAAAAAAAAAAACACAAAAAAAAGGCACAAAAAATTAGATTTGCTGTAAGTATAGCAATTCACAATAAAATGTAATCACTTCAAATTGTCTTTCTAACATATAGAAAAGGCACAGAATGAAAAACATTTTGGCCAGCGTTCAAGCTATTCCTGTAAAAGGCTTGGAAGTGTGCCAATCTGCTATCAAATTGACTCACAGAGGCAAGTGGTCTCTTTGCCTAAGTGTTTTATATTTCTCGTCTTCCTTTCTCAGCTAGTTTTTTTTTTCCGTACAAAAAAAAGGATTTTTAGAGAAAGGCAGAGGAACTGTCATAAATAATATAAACACATTGTTCAAATACAAACTAAGTGTGACCCGATGATGGCTAAAAGCAAAGTCTTGGACATAAAAGCTGAAAGGGCTTTCACATCTAATTTTTTAAAACAATCTTCTGTTTTCTTTCTTTCCAAAAGTTCTGCCTATAATGATGCAGGTAATGCCAGTTGATGAGCAGCACACGTGTACATTTTATATATGTTATTCTTGCCTGAGGAGAGAGGTTTAAGGCACTGCAGTTGGACCCTTTTGCTTCTGTGACCTACTGGACAAATCATTTTTGTGCTCACACTGGATAAAAAGCTTTAGGTGGCAAAAAAGAAACATCCAACATGCGGTTTGGACAGGTTTGGACGGATGTAGGATTGTTTGAAAAATACAGGTAAAGGTTCCCTGTAATGTCCATGTATTCTAGAACCTGCAGATGTTTTCTGTGAATGAGTGATTGTACAGTTCTACTGCTCCCTTTTGTGAGTGAGACTGCGTACCTGTTGTTCACAAAGTAGCGAGTTCCTCGTTGACTGCCATACAAGTGAGTGTCTCGTCCTTTACCCCACTGGCACACAGCTGATCTTAAGTCATGAGTCTCACATTTAAAATCAATGGGCAGTGGTGGATCTGGGGATGTGGGCAAAAAAAAATAAAAAAATCTCAGTCACATTTTTAGAGTCGTAAATATTAAAAGATATAAATGAATGTATTTTTCTGCCATGCCCAAAACATTAACCCAGATTAGATCTAAACATATTTCAAACGTGTTTATCTTACATCCAACAAACACAACGGCTCCATACAGTTTTTCCTTGTCTTCTGGCAAACAAAGCATGTTGCTCCCTGACTGGCGAGAGGCCACCAGATTGAACACTGTGGTGGAATAGGTCCGCCTGCTCAGTCGTGTCACGCTCGTGGTGTTCCCGTCGTACTTTAGCTTATCTAAGACCATCCCTTCATCCAAAATGCAACAGAAGGTGATGTTGGCCCCCACAGGTAAAACTTTGTCCTGGGGAAATACCTTAACTCTCTGCTCACTATTGGGGTGATCATTTCCTGAAATAGAAAACAGATCGAGAGAGAATAAAAAAAAATTGAGTTAAGAGAGTAGTAAGGTGTAAAAAGACACTGATATGCACAAGGCAAATATTTTAGGAGGTATACATTTTAAAAGAATGAGGCCTTAATGAGAACATGCCAACAGGATACTAACTGGGTACTTAGGTTTTAACTAATTACTGATGGTCTATAATATACATCCGTGCCACTGACCTTGAAGTGTCTCAGTCTGACTCCATTCACTTGTAGTGTGCCCATCTCTTGAGCAGATTTTGACTGACAGGGAGGTACACTCCAGGGGGTTAACTGAAGTCCACGTCCACTGGTGCAGACCACTCACCTTATTCACTGTCGGAGAGACTGTCTCCTGCAGAACATACACAGAATGCACAGTTCAAACAAGTAACTGGTGAAATATTGCGAGCGTCATAGAGAAGAAATCACCTACTTAGTGCACACAAAACCTAAAGTTCACGTAAAATCAAAGCAATCACTACAGGAAAATATGCAGCACAAGATAACGATTCCCTTTTGAAAAAAAAAAAAAAAATTCTTTTACAAATACCAAAGATGATTTTCAAAACAATGTTACCAGTACAGCAAATCTTCCTACACTCATAATTACTACAATTGCTTTAAAATTCCATGACAAAACAAGTTCGTAGAAAATGAAGTGCTCTTACATAGAAGACAGTTTCATTGAATTCAGTTCTTAGAATGATGAGGTCAAAGGTCGTTGCGCCTCCTCCCAACCAGGATATGGAGAGTTCCTGTGTGTACCAGTTAGGAGACAGCGTCACCCGCTGAGGTACTGTAAGGCCTGGGGGGAAAAAAATTCCATCAGGGTTTAATGATTATAGGACACACAGTTTAACTCTAAATGGCTTCTTAGAATTAAAGAAACCTTCAACATTAGATGAGTTCAGCAGAGCAGAATATCCGATTTATTAAAGTTAAGGTTTCCTTCACGTGTTTCAGTTCTTACCAGTATCTGCATGAGTGTGTGAAGTCGAAAACCCCAGGACAATCCACAGGAGCCAGACAAAGCCACTGCTAATAAGCTTTGAGGTGGGAGTGAGACTTAAGTGAGCCATTTTTATCTACTGGCCAAGCGTCCGCTTACAGATCCTGATGAAGTGATGGTCCTCTTCACTACACTACCGTGTTAAAACATCCTGAGAGGCAAAACCTATACAGAGGAAGGCCTGTGGAAAAACCCAGAAGAGTTCAAAACAACGATAAATGTATCATGTATCATGTTAAAACATAGATATTATTAAAAAAAGAAAATAACAGCCTGGCTGTGAAAAAAATAATGCTAATGACCGAGAGTTACTTGGGGACACTGTGAAGCTGTCCGGGTTGAAGTCATGTAAACATAATGTTTTTTCCATGAAAATATTCTGGCACGCAGTGTTTTTAAGAAATGTTCTTTAGGTTTGTTTCTGACACTGCTGGGTTCACTGGGGACCAATGTGTTGAACTGACTTCAATTTTTTGCAATACCTCACTGCAAGCTGCCATTCTTATGTTACTTCTTGCCAAAGCCAGATGTACAACTGCCAAGAAAAGTCAACCGTAAGGAGAAAAAAAAAAAAAAAACTTCGCCGTGGCAGCTGTTTAAGCACACACATCACACACACTGGTTATGAAAATCCTCCTGTTCCTGGTATTTGGATTATCCTGTACTTGTCCTCCTCTTAAAGGTCCTAGTTTTTTTATTTTTTCTAAGCCGTTTTGGAGGGTTTTGATTTAACACTGCTCCTATCAACCGGACTTATGAACAATCAGAAAGATACAGGCAAACTGGATACAAAGACAACTGTGGCACCAGCATTGCAGGTTCTTTTGGCTGCCGGACGTATCTGCATGTTTGATTTGGCACAGACTTTATGCCTGACGCCCTTCCTGACACAAACCTCCCACTTACCCAGGCTTGGAACCGGCACTACCAGTACACTAGCTTTGAACGTCCCAAGGCTGACTCTGTGTCTCCTCCCGGTTTCGAAATGAGGATCTTTTGCACACGTTATCCACAGCACCATACAGCCCCACAGCTGTGGGTCAGACAAGACAAGAACATGTATGCCATGCAGCTGGAACTTTTTGTGCATTTAACAGGTGCTTTACATATAATCTTGCATTGCTTGACCCTACAGATTAAAGCCACTGACTAAAATCATTGTGCAATATAAAAGATTGATGTAGCTATGGCAACATTACCAGTTAGTCCTGTCTTGAGGCTTTGAGCTGAGCTTTGTGGGCATTACGACTTAGCCACTGTGGGCCAATGTGTGCTCACACAAAGTGAGTTATGAATCAGAAAGCAGGTCCACCCTAAAGTACGCCCTGCTTTATCCCCTTTTTTATTCTAACAATTTAATAAATGATCTTTAGGTTGTATTAAATAAAACTTTAAACTACGGGCTGAGACTATAAAACCACTGGGGAGGTATTTACTGAGATCATGGATAAAATGAGCCAACGGGTCATTTTTCCATTCATCTCTATACAAACAGACAGACCTCCAACCTATGTCCAACTTTTATATACAGTCTATGATAGACGAGCACATTTAACTATTCCTACCAGGACTTTGGGTTAATTGAAAGTAATGTAAGCTGAGTAGACACACTTGCATGTAAAGGCAGCTGGCAGCAGTGTAGATCGAGCTGAAGATAACTTGTACAACAACACAGAGCTATCTTTTCCAGGGAAATATCAACCCAACCATTTATTTTCACTAAATGGAATGTCAGAGTGTATTCAATTCTAATGTCAACAAAACTCCTTCCACAGGTACTGCCAGTCAAAAATCTGTACCACCTCGGCCTGCTCACCGTCTGTTTGGCTGCCCTCTAAAACCACACAAATCGTTCACAGCTGTTATGGTAAACCACAGCTGCACTCAAATACTCTGCAACTTTTTGGGATTTTGAATTCTACTTTTTTATTTTTTTGTTAAATTGTGTAATACATTACATTTCAGTTTGACCCCTGACCTCCCTGTAACTTACAGGACTTCACTGTTGCCAACTTAGCAGCTTTGTTAATAGATCTGGCAAGCGTTCCTAGTCCCTATTGAAAAATTGACAGCGGTGCTGTCATCAAGAGTGATGTTCACATCCCCATTGCACTCTACCAGGCTCAGAGCAGACACAGGCCTGCGCTGCAGAGTACGACACATTCTGCTGCTTCTAAATTTGTCTTTGAGTGACGATTTTCTTTTTCTCAGCTAATTAGACATGAATCTTTCCACCCACTGACCAAAGCTTATTGTAGATTGCTATCAAATATGCAAGTACATAAATTGGTATTCTAGATACCCCTACAGCAAACAGCTTGTTCATTCTGCTAGATAAAACTGCCAGTTTGTCTGGCAGAAGCAGCTTAAGAAGAATGAGACAGGCATTTATCATTTCACAACATGTGAGAACAAAAATATTTTTTGCACCCCCTTTAAAATATGATTAAATACATAAAAATACTTGCAAACATAAACTTTAAGTCGTGACTCATGTATGGTGTACATTGGGTGCCTGATTTTCTTCTTAAAGTTAGATAATTTAACACAAAATGTGTCGCAGTGCACAGGGACGGAATAATCGAGTCTTAACCCCGATGAACCTGCATGTGGTTGTGTACGCATATAAATCTCAGTTCTTGTGTGTTGAACCATCACTGACATTCGCAGTTCATCTGGTTTCCCTCGAGACAGGCTGGGGCAGGCCTCAAACGTCTCTCTAGCTTGACAAAAATACGCCTCTGAAAAACAACCAAGCCCTTTGCAGCAATAACGTGACATGTTTCAAATAGATGAGCAAACAATTCCTGCCAAAACCTTAAGCCTCGTTGCCAAATAAGTGATCCTATCAGTACTCCATAGTGACATTGAGTATGACCGTGCAGCATCATGCTGATATATTTTTAGATGGCTGTTTCATTAATTCATGACGTGGCCCACTGCAAACTTTGCAAATACCACAAGAGCACGAGAGCTACTGGATTTCATAACTCTTTTGTGTCAAGGACAGATTCAACATAAGATAAGAAAAAGATTCTATTTATCCTGGCAGAGGGAATAAATTAGAACAAATTTATAATCTGCTTCAAATCTTGAAAGCCTTGTGTTTGTTTCTTAACACTACAGTTCTTTGTTAAAGCTATAGGCTATGGCAGTCATTAACTGAAACATCAATCTACACAGTAGACCAGCAGTCAGTGGATTTAAAGATCAGTTTTTTTCTTTTGACTCCTAAAGTAGTTACAGATATCTTCATGTTTGTTTGTTGGCTGTGATTTAGACATGACATGTGAATAAATAAACCTCGCGGTCATCGATCTAGCTCTTTCTGCATGCATAGCAATTGCATTTTCCTTTCTAAGCAGCTGCTTCTTCTGCATTCAAAAAGCACACTAAACCCAGCAGTATTAATGTGATTTATTTAATGGGACTTTCTGCAGAGCTGGCTATAGCAGTTCAAAAATCTTCTGTTTTTTTCCTGCCATTAAAGTGCACTTCACATGAAATTCAGAAGAACTGTTCAATATAAATACAGCTGAGTGGAGTCAGTCTATTACACATTTTTGTGCTTGCACCAAAACAACAGTTTTATTCCATGTTTTGTGGTTTCCCACATGAGAGGGCATTCTCCTTTCTTTGAGGATTATTTTTCCAAATTTTCACACCACGTTGAAATGTTTTACAAGCCCCAACACAATTCTTTGAGCCTCAGGGTACAAGACAAAAACAACAGCAATTTCTCTTTTTTAACAGGCTGCACTGATGGGAAATGAGGGCATTGGGGGGGTGTCTGTACATTCTGGGAAATCTCATCCAAGAAACTGATAGCTAAAAATGCACATCAGCACACAAATCAATACCTCTCTGCTGAGCTCTGGCTCTTGTCTTTGGAGCAGTGATGAATGTGACCACAAACAACAAAAACCACAAGGATGTTGTTACTTAAAAACTAAGCCTAAACCTCATCTGTATGCCTGCAGTAACCCTATTTTAGGAAAGCGCAGACTCACCTCAAAGACAACACCGTGACTTCAAGCTTGCCACCTCTTTCCACACCACAGTTTACTCCCGGCTGTATATGCAGCTGTGTAAAGAGGCTCTGAAAAGCCATGAAGATTGTCCAGGTATACTCCCACGCAAAATACCACAGGCAGGACTGACTGTCAAATGAAGCTACCATTTCTAAGAATCCAAAGTACAGGAGAGATGTACTCCAGTTACTGGTTACTGGCATGTCCATGGCAAGAATCAGTACATCTATGTATACATGAGAGCCCATCTGGGAATTTACATGCGGCGTCTGACGAGCTGTAGATTGTAACTGATCTGTGATTATAGTAAATGACAAATGTTTGTCCACAGAGACCTATTAGAACTTGGCGATTACTAACTGATACTACTAACTGTAGTGGCCTTGATAGGTCAAAAGCACTGCAACGTAGCAAAACACACAAAAAAAGAAAAGTGCTGCAAAAGCAAGCAAAACAGAACTGATTAAAACACAACAGAAAGAGAAAAAATCTTGGAAAGGTTCTTAAAAAGCCTCACAAAACACAAAGGAAGTGTTTTTGGGGAGATAAGCTAACAGTCATAGCAAACCATGCAAATAAAACACAAATTAACTTGCATCATTTTCTCCCTCACAGCAGAATTAGTATGTTTTGGGCTAATTTCCATTCTTTTTTTTGTGTATTTTGCAGCAATTTTCTATTTGCTGGTGTTTTTCTAAGTTGCAGTGTGTTTGATCTTTCAGGGCCACCATAACTGACTCTTCTAACTCTAGTGTCAAACTAAAACACAAGAACTGAGAAAAGTATGAAGATAAACTGTTATTGCTATGTGATTCTTATTGATGCTACAATCAAGGCCAGGAGACAAAATAAAACTGAACAAAAGCTGAAAACTAAACTGAAAAAGAAGACAGAGACAGAATTACCTGTGCTTGGACAGAAACACCTCAAAATATTACAAAAATCTTATTGTCTATATACATAAATATTATGATGAATTACACTTTAATCTGCCTCAGGCAATGGGAGATACTTTGTGGTTGTGTGATTTCTGCCCTTGTTCATTTGCACAAATGACCTTACAAATACAGACTGGAAAGAGCAATGAGGCCCTGTGACTGATAGTATTATCTTTAGCCAAATGTGGAGGCAATCTTTGCGTCTGTTCCAGCCTGCAGTCAGCAGAGCTGTCATTGCTTTTTAATACAGCGGGACCAAAGAAATGAACAATCAGTGAAACACAAGCCATTGTATTTGAGCCTGCGCCTCTATCCACACCACCACACTGTGCAGCTGTGTAAAGCCACGTTTAGGGGAAAGCCATGGAAAATATCCAAGTGTACTTCCATACACCATGCAGGACTGGCTGCTGATGTGATGCAACTATTTCTCCAACATTTCGTACATCAAATTGTTAAAATGTCAATTAATATTCAAACACCCATTTCCCATGTCTAGTGCTTCAGGGAGTTCACAAGTCACAAATAATACAAACAGTTACTGACAGACGCAAAGTTAGAGGCTTGTTTTCTCCCAAGGTTTTGTTTGTATGTGTCTTGGCTAGTGCACTTGTCCTTTGCCCAGGGGAGTTAATAATTAAACTTTGTTTTTATTTTATATGACACAAAGTAAGAATAAGATTATTATAGTTACAAGTTTCCAGATTCCAACAATATTTTTCCCCACACCAACAGAACATGAGAAATGCTTTTCACAGTAAGAGTAACAGTTATTAATCTGTCTCCTGTAAATGTACCAAAAGACATCCTGACGTTTAAAGATCATATAAAGGGATCGTTGTTCCCACTAGAACTGAGACCAGGACGAAAATAAAAATGAATGAGAGCCAAAGCCAAAATTACACCAAACCACCACTGCTTTAAGCTAAAAAGCAACTACTCAAGCAAAACATTACAAAAAAGCTTAGAAAAATACCACACCTACCTAAATAGATGTAACTTTGTTTGATAAACCTTTTATATGCTGCAATGTTTTGTCAGTAAGCATTTTGCCCCAGGTAGCGGACTATATTGCATGAGCTTATCATTTTTATGTCTGCTCATATGTACATACAGATGCATACTATTTGAACAAAAGGCAATCAAAACCTTTGATAAGATTTTCCTTTGCCAAATCCAGGGA